GATTATGTAGCAGGACGCAGTGATCGGAGAGCAGAGCCAGAGTCACTGCAGCTGGAGCTCAAACGCTAACCCGGGGACTGGACCGCTCGACGGAGAGATCATTATTCGCCACTTGCCACGAACTGTTTTAAGATTTAGATCTTGTATCCTCTATTTCAATCCCCAAAACAATTCTATTAGGAAGGTGCTCACATGCCCATTTTAAAGAACAACACCGGGAGGCACAGGGAAATTAACCTCCAATGCCAGGAAGTCGAACCGCGCTTGGAAGGTGTAGGGAGGCGGACTGGGCGAGCTGAGAGCCCTGGGCACTCGCGAACCGGGCGATACGCGACCTGAGCCAGTCCCGCCTGGGGACACGAGAACCGCACCGAACGCACAGAGGTACCGCCCACCCACCCCTCGATACCTGAGTTCACCGCTGAGGGCTCTTTTCCCCTAAGTCGAGCGCTGAGTCGTTTGGGTCCCAAGCACAGATCCAAGTAAGTTCTGAATGGCCCGCGGGACGCGGAACGGTCACGCCACCCCACGGAAAATACTGTAGCAACTCAGCACTCCAGGACCGGAAGTTCCTGCGAGCCCACGGACCTGCGGGACTACACTTCCCAGAATCCACCAGACCCGCCTTCCTGAGCGGAAGTTCCCGCGGAAGCAACAGGGCGTGTGCACTACGCCTCCCGAATATTCGCCAAAGGGAAAACCTTTACGTGTATTCCCACTCTTCTGGAAGAAGTGTTGGGACTACAGGACGCTCCTTGACTGCGCTTCCCAAATTGCCCGAATGGAGAGAATCCCACAGTCCCTACCTTGTAGGTTCCTCCCCTGGGGGTCGGCTTTACCTTTCCTTGCGTCTTCCAGCGAAAATATTCCAAAGACACGACTTCCTGAAGTCGAGATGCCTCCAATGATGCCCGGAGTGTTGTTGGAAAGGAAACATGTGAGGAGATACAGTCTTCAAGAAATTAGTGGGGATTGACTGTCTAGGGCACACCAGATGATTGAAAAAAGGATAATGTTTAGTATAATCTGATGATATGAGGCTAAAATTGAATTTAAAGAATGGGCGACGTAAAATGATTTGGGACGTAGAATGATCTGATGAACGAATAAGGGACCAGCCCCTACTCTGGACCCCGCGGCACCACTAGTTTGGCAGAAAAAAACGAGAGAGCCAAAGCGGAAGCTTGTGCTCGCGGGAAAGTACTCTGCCCTCATTTAAACTTTTCATTACAGTTATTATCCCTACTTTGGGGGTGGAAACACCGAATTTCAGAGAAGTTAGGAAATTTGTCCACTATCTCAAAGCAAGCATAACGGCTGAAGAGCTTGGCATTGAATTCATTCTGGCTGTGAAGCCTATGATTTAATGCCAGAGCACTGAGGAGGATGATTCTATAGGTGAAAGAGCATGTTTTAGTATTGAGTGTTTTCTTTCACATTTTCTGGTTAAAATATCCTTATGATAGTTAGCACTTTTAAAACACGTTCCTGGAAACAAATTTAAAATTGTATAAAGCAAAATTTAAGAAAAAATAAATGCACCCGGAATCCTTCCCCTTGAAGATAACCAGATTCTTTTCTCTCCATAAACCTACATATACCAACATACACATTTGTTTTTAAAAATGAAGTCTCATGTTCTGTATCCATTTTTCCTAAACTCGATATAAGCTAGACATTTTCTAATATCAGTCACTGAAAATCTAACTCTTTCAAATGACTGCTGTATATAATGTTGCATTGAATGGACTGAGAACTAAAAACAGCCCCTGACATCTGGAAGCTGGCGTGGCACTCACAGCTAGAACATGTTATTCTCCTTCCAGACATAAAAGAATCACAGAATACTATCCTCAAAGAAGGTTTCTCTGAGACCATGTAAAGTGGGACAAAACAAGACTCTAATTTTGTTTAGATGGACCAAAACAAGGTCTTTGTGCTACCGAGACAATGCCAAACACCCCTCCTGGCTAAATGAGCAACTGCTACTTCTTTACCATTTAGAGCTTTATTGTTGTTCTAATCAGCCCTCCCAAAAGTTAAATGTATGGTGACACTTGGTATTAGAACTGCTCCTGCTTTCTGACAGCTTCCAATCTAGAGTGAAGCCTGCTTCCTCAGGCCCTCACCCAAACCAGTAAGCAAGGATCCAGTCGTCGCAAAAAAAAGTATGTCCCCTTTCAGTACACACATTGGTACATAGCCATAGGTCCCTTTGGGGGGATCTCTGGGAAAAAGATTAGCAGCACCCATTTTTACAATATATAAGGTTCCACCCTCAAGAGGAGTCTAAACAGTCCTTCATTCAAGGGATTCATAGTTTGTAAACCAGCCATGTCATAAAATTGATTTAGGGGCTGTGACTTTAGTTTAGGTGATTCAAATTAGATGTCCGTTCACTTGACCTAAAAATCTGCCACATATATAGAACAAAAAAGACTTTAGTAAACTTCCCATCTATTTATTTACTAGGGACACCAAGGTCAACAGGAAATGTCAAGAAGCCAGTGCATGATGACTTGAAACTTTTGGGTCGTTATGCTTGAGCTGGAATTGGAGGCTCACCTTTCTCTTTCCCACTTTCTTCAGCACATAACCAGAAAATCCCATTACACTCGTTAGTTCGAACAATATGTCCTGAGTAACAACTCATGGTAATCCAGAACTTTGCCTTATTTCACTAGGAGTATCAAATGTGATATTTTGTATATTTTTGCCGCAGTGTACCAATGACTACCAATGCCCCATTTTCCATGGGAAACAGTCATTAGTGCCTTTAAATCTAGTGATCAGAGAACCGATTCCAGAAAACACAATCAAGTCATAAAAACTTATCCTTAATAATCTGTTCCTCTAGAACCATTCTCAAAAACAACAACAACAACAACAAACATGTATTGGTAAGATTTCAGCCTAAGAAATGGAACCATTAGGAGATAATACAAGAGATTTATAGCAAGATACTGGCTTACCAGATTGTGGGGCAGATTTGGCAAGTTGAAATCCTGAGGATGGGCCATTAGGACCTTCAGCCATGGATTGAACATACTTCCAATAGGTGGAATGATGTCATCTTTAAGGAAGTTTGAGCTCTGCTCTTAAGGACTTTCAACTGCTTGAATTGGGCCAACTCAGATTACTTGTTACCCCTTTCTCAGTCAACAGATTGTGGACTGTGATCATCTCTACAAAATATGTTTGCAACACCTAGGTTTGTGTATAATTGAACAACTGTGGACTATAGTATAGGCAAGTGGCCATGTAAAATTGATCATCACACTGATCTTCATTGTTAAGAAACTGGTTAAGGAAAAAAACTTGGTACACCAGAATACTATGCAGGCGTTAGAAATGAGGCTGTAGGTCAATTTATTGAAATGATTTTTGACAACTGTTTCAATTGGTGAAACACTCGAGTTAAAAAAACAGTATGCATTGTTCCTAGTTTTGTAGAATTCTATATAAATTCTACATACTTATATGCATATATTGAAGCATGCTCACCAAAATATTAACAGTGGTGAATTGATACTACCATGCATTTTCTTCTTTGGACTTTCCTGTACTAACGTGCTTGTTTTCAATGTCCAGGCATCATTCTTGTCAGTAAAATAATATGAAAATACTTATACTTAAAATTTTTTAAATCCTCTCAAGAATTAAATATTGTACTAAGACATGGCATGTGTTGACAAAAAGTCAAGTCTCTAGATGACTAAGACAGAGGTTCTGAGACTCATTACTTTAAAACAAGTGTGTCAAATGAACAAAAAACTGTATTGGACTCAGACCTTTAAATGGATATCCTATCAATACGGTTAGACTTTAACAACTTGGGAAGCCTCTCTATTCTTTCAAACACAGAGAAAGGACAATCTTCTCTAACAATCTTCATCAAATGTAGCCATGTTCAAAGCTAAGGGAAATCCCCCAAAGGGCAGTGAAGTCTGCAGTGATAAGCAGAAGCCGAAACTGAATGGCCCCACAAAGGCTTAAGAAACTAGATGGAGCTAGCAATTTACTATTATGGTCAGGAGTCCAGACCTCATGCCCTTTGGGAGACATGAACATGAACACCGCCGTGAACCCAGGTGTTATCTTGTGACCACCTTGAGGAACCCTGCCATGCAGGTTAGGTGTAAGCCCTACCTGTAGTCTTTTCAATTTTAGGAGACAAGTATTTTTAATCTGGTGAGATTTGTTACAATTACTTTAGGGATGACTTATTCTGGTATTTGCTGACAGTTGAAAAGAACCTAAAAGATTTCAAGCTTGTTTCTGATTCCATGCGCACAGGATAATATAGCAGTCCTGAGACTGCGATCCTTAGCATGGCCTGCTTGCAAGGGTAGACTCTGGCTGGGGTGAGAAACATGGATTTCAGGAGTTTCCACCATTCCATCACTGGTAAGAGCTGTGCTCAAACTGTACAACATGGCTTATTCTGAACACCCACTTTCTCAAAGCCCGATCCCATCTGATCTCAGAAGCTAAGCAGGGTTGGGCCTGGATAGTACTTGGACGGGAGACCACGTAGAAATACCAGGTGCTGTAGGCGTAAAAAATAAAAAATAAGGGTTTGTAAGCTGACAAGGTCCTTGCAATCCATGAGATCAACCAAGGGTTGCCTCGCCTAAAAAAAAAAAAAAAAATGAACACCTGCTTTCTTTACTGAAGACTGGCATCTTGGTACACGCCAAGCAGATGGTGCTTACACAACCAGCTCCCAGTAAGTGCTGATCTCTAATGAGGCCCTATCACAGACATCTCTCATGTGTGGCCAAATGCAATGCAGGATTTAAGTGAGTCCTAAGCAAGAGCACGAGGAGGAGATTCTTGGAAGCTTCAACCCAATTTCCTGCAGACATCTCCCACATACCTTCTCCTGTTACTGACTTTGCTTTGCACCCTTTCAGTGTAATATGGTCCTAAGTCCAGCTACGTTCTGAGTCATCCAAGCAAATCACAGACCCTGAAGGCAGTCTTAATAAGTACATAGAAATCTGTGAAGATGTAGAGAAAATTATGAAAATGAATGTCTCCATTACATAAACGTTGCTAAGTAAAGCTCTTTAACCCAATACACTTAACATCACGGATGTCTAGGAAGTATGGAATGGCATCAAAAGCTTTCTCCTCAGAGGCTCCACTATCATGCTATGTCCCCTACCCACACGTGCCCTTTCTTCAAAGAATCTTTTTTTAAACCTCCACAACATATATAACCCCACTTTATTTCTATCTCCAGTATTTGCCTACTCCCTGCTTAAAGATGTGTCATATGCATTAACCACTATCATGCTATGTCCCCTACCCACACGTGCCCTTTCTTCAAAGAATCTTTTTTTAAACCTCCACAACATATATAACCCCGCTTTATTTCTATCTCCAGTATTTGCCTACTCCCTGCTTAAAGATGTGTCACATACATAGATGATCGATCATTCATTAATTTATCTGTATGTTCACACAAGAAAAGTTTTTGAATACTGATTCTTATTCCTTAATTCTGATCTTATATGTCTTATAATAATGTAGTACGATCTTATTAGAAGTCCTTAACTGTAAAGGATTCATATTGATCATTTTTCATATTCTATTGTACATAATTTACCAGTTTGATCAAACTGATGCTCATTGAGAAACTAAAACACACGATTAATGGAATTACAAAATGGAAAATATTACCAAATACTCCTTGCCAGAGAAGACCATGAATATCCCTTTCCATGTATTCACAGATACTCACATACATACACATGTACACACACATACATATTTATGAATCTGATTATACTATGAAGGCCACAGTCTGATATCACAAAACCCATAGTATGTTCTTCTCCTGTCATTACATGTCCTTGCCATCACTTTAATGGCCCCATGTTATTACAGAAATATGTAATTTAAACAAATTCTTATTAATGAAGTTATTTCCATTTTAAAAATTGTGTGGCATTATCGATCTTTTTCACTGTTTGAATCTCATAATTGTTAAGTTCCTATACTATGACTGCCAAATCAGAGTTGTACCTTATACACTGTTATATACTGATTTTCAAAGGATGGGTTTTTACCAAGAAAGAAAAGCATGCAAAATGTCATTCCTACACCAGTAATGAATACATTTGATGAAGTTTGATAAAAGAAATGCTACAATTAGAAGACAATCACATCAAAACCTGCATAGAAACGCAAAAACTAAAAAGCAATGATGAACTCGATTAAATAAGACAACTTTTGTCACTGGTTATTAAATCTGGTACTTTAATGCATTGCTTTGAACCCTTAACATTGTTAAAAGTTGCAACTGTGCTATGTGCAATAGCCAGTTACTGCAGTTTCAGTCTGCATCATGAGAAAAATGACATAACAGAGTTGAATTTATACTGTATCTAACAGTGGAACAGCAGACAGAAATCCAAAAAACTCAACCTCGGAACTGAGGCTGAGGGTAGGTCAGGAACCAACCGCAACAGCATGCTACCGAAATAATGCTGTGGAATGCAGTACCCAGTGTTAGTTCTGCAATTCAATTCGTTGGTTTCTCTGATTTATTGTCACAGGTTTCCTCTTCCAGATACAATTTTAAAATATTACATATTTTCTCCCTTTGATTCATTTAATAAACAAGTACTGAGCTCAAGTACAAAGTGCTCATGAAACTTAAGGCTGTAGATTCAGCAGCAAACAAGCTTCCTGCCATCGAGCATACTGCATTCTACTGGACACCAACTTTAACACCCAACATTATAGTTCTGTAAATATCTGGACAAATTCTTACTTCTAAGGCCTGCCTCTTGAAGGATAAGTTTAATGGTCAGAGGTTCTGGCTGAAGCCTTACGACACCACTTGTAATAGTTTTGGGATCACTGGGATATGTTGAACTATGGCTGAAGCACTCACTTTAATGAAACGAATGTTTTCCTTCTTTTGAGACTGGATGAAATTTATCTCCAACATGGTTTCTGTGATGAATTTTAAAATATGAACTTGACCTGAAGTGCTTACCACATATCTCACACTTGTAGGGTTTCACCCTTGTGTGAACCCTCTGATGAGATTGTAGATGGGCCAACTGACTGAAGTCCTTACCACACACCTCACATTTGTATGGCTTCTCTCCAGTGTGGACTCTCTGATGAAGTTTAAGATGTGAGGCCTTACTTAAGTGCTTACCGCACTCCCAACATGTATATGGCTTCTCTCCTGTGTGGATGCTCTGATGCACGACAAGATCCAAGCTTGTCTTGTAGCCCTTCCCACACTCCTCACATCTGTATGGCTTTTCTCCGGTGTGGACTTTCTGATGGGCTTTCAGGTACGATTTCCGACCAAATCGCTTCCCACACTCTTCACATGTGAATGGTTTTTCTCCACTGTGGACTCGCTGATGGGCCAAAAGATGTGAGGCCCATCTGAAACTCTTCCCACATTCCTTACAATGATAGGGTTTCTTTTCTGTGTGGATCCTCTGATGGTAATAAAGATCTGCCCTAGAATAGCTTTTTCCACACTCCTCACATTTGTATGGTTTCTGTCCCATGTGGACACTCTTATGGACATGAAGATGTGAGCTCCAACTGAAGCACTTCCCACACTCCTCACATTTGTATGGTTTCTCTCCAGTGTGGACCACACAATGACTATTAAGTCCTGATCTACGACGAAAATTCTTCCCACATATATCACATCTGAACGGTTTCTCCCCGGTGTGGACCCTCTGATGGTTCTGAAGATGGTAAGCATGAATGAAGGCCCTTCCACATTCTTCACACTTATAAGGTTTCTCTCCTGTGTGTAATTTGCAATGGTCACTAAGTGTTGATCTACGACTGAAGCCTTTCCCACACTGCTCACATTTGAACGGTTTCTCTACAGTGTGGACTTTCTGATGAGTTTGCAGACGTGAGCTTTGACTGAATTCCTTACCACACTTATCACACTTATAACGTTTTTCTCCCAAGTGAACTCTCTGATGAATACGAAGTGCTGAGCTATGGAAGAAGCTTTTTCCACACTCATGACATGTATGAGACCTGTCTCCTGAGCTTAACTGTTGATGAAGATCAAAGTTGGAGAAACCACTGAAGAATTTTTTACACACCTTTCCCTGGTAAGGTTTCTGGCCTGTGTGAGTTACAGATAGTTCTGCCCCAACCTGGCTGGGTGAATCACCCTGTCTGGGGAACTGAAAACTAGTTATGATAGAGTCTTGACATCTGATTAAGTCAGCTACAATCAGTTGCCAGATTTGCCAGCAGGAAAGTTCTTCGTTTGGTTCCTCTGGAACAGTCTCCGGGTCATGTTGGATCTTGCCTCCTAGAAGGACAGAGAATGCAGAGATGTGGACAAGCGAAGGCTTTGTTCGTTGTCTTCAAGATTTCAGGCTGGAGAAAGCATGAGACTTTAATGGATCCAGGGACTATTCACTATGTCCTCTGGGTATGTATCATGGTCTCCGGTTTACATGCCTACAGAAACCAAGAGGTAGTCTAGTAGGCGCCTATCCACTGAACATCAGTAAAACCAATTTAGAACTACCCCGAGTCTCCTATGGGATGTATGAGTTAGAAATAAAGGCTTCATAACAAAAATGGTAATATGATACATGATGTTAATCTGTTGCTATTTCTATTGAATTTTATAATGAGCATCTATTCTTGGATAAATTTTACAGCAAATAATTATATACACAATAAAGTATGAATCAATGCAAACTTTAAGGAAAAGCAGCAGCAGAATCAATTCTTTGTATATTTGGGTTTATGTTACGTATCCTTAGGTAATAAAAAATTTTAATCTTACCAAAAAAGGAGTATAGACTTTACCCTATACTTCAGAGAGATGAGCTCTGACCCCGTGGAATGCCATGCCTGAAAAGTGTTCCTGAGGTTCTTGGGTCACATTGGCTGGTCTAACAACACAATTTAGAAGTGAGGCTGACCACAGCAGAAAGACCAAGAATGTGATTTCAGATGGGGCTTTCATTTACCCTGTGGTGTAGACCAGGAGACTGAAAATAGCCACATGAAACTATTCAACGTACACTGATGGAGCTCCAATAATTACTTTGGACAATGAAGCTCAGGTGAGCTTCCCTGATTGGCAATACCCTGTGTATAATTCCACACCTTCATGTTGGAAAGTAACACAGAAACACCTCCTTGACTCCATGCAGAGAGGACAATGGGAGCTCTGCATCTGGTTTTCCCTAGATTCCCTTTCATGTACCTTTTCTGTTACTTGATTTTAAGGAATATCCTTCTCTGCAATAAACACTAACCATGGGTTTAACGGCATTCAGTGAGTTCCATCAGGCCTTGCAGAAAATCATTCGATCTTAAGGTAGTTTGGGGTACCACCACCCCTGCCCCCGGCAAACTTGCAGCAGGGATCAAGTGCAGGAAGAGTGTAAACTCTTTGAAGTAGGCTAAACTCTTTGTACTCCTATATATCGATAACCTAGAATTGTATATATCTAAAGCCTTCCTGCAAATTTTATATAACATGGGTAGTTCGTCTTATTTTTCTGGGTTGATACACACAGTAACTTAAATATCTGAAATAGAAAAGAGACAGGAAACTACAATTTTGCTATGAAGCTATGTCTGCACCTCACAGGAATACACAAAGGGTTATGCTAATGATGAGAAAGTCAACAGGATGAAAAAGAACACATGAGGGCCTACCTAAGCTTCTTCTGAGGTTTCTAGATTGTCTCTCTCAAAACAGTGTGGAAAAACTTTGGAGATAAACTGGGCTTTCACATAAGTTTTTCAGATTGAAAACTGCAGCCTCTTAGTTAGCTGTAAATTAATTTAAAATCATACAATACGCATTTGGAAAAAAGAATCAGGACAGAAACCATGAGAGCGGGAATGGGGTCATTACATGAACTGTCTTGCCAAGTCATACATATAAACCCACACACATGGATAATATTTCTTTCGGTTATGCTCAAAGATGAATTTCTTAATATACCTTGTGGTCTACAAAGTGTGAAAACTTGGTTTAAGAACTTAGCAAGGCCTTAATTAAACAAATTATTCAAATGAAAAATAAGTTCCAAGGGTGAAACTTGGAAAAATACCAGTAGGTGAGTGTGCTCCTCCTGATAGATACTGTAGTTTATAGTTAAATCTAACAAACTGTCACTTTAAAATAGTTTTTTGGGGGAGACACGGAAGTCTCTCTGAGGATGTGACAATTGTGAGTAGGCAGTTTCCCGATACTCTCCAGGTTATAATGTTCACCGGTTGAAAATGTAACAATATGTCTCTATAAAAATAAAGGGAAATCATGGGAAATTATCATTCTTTAACATTTAATGGCTAAATTTGTAGAAAATTAAGCCACAGAAATATACACCATATTTCCCACCAAAAATGATCAGGAATAGACAACAATTGCCTGTGTGGCTGGTGTTACTTTCATTTTCATTCTTCCCCTGCCAGCATCTGGTGACAGCGACATGGATGTTAACCTCGTAAGAAGCAAATGGGCCACAGAAGGGCAAATGATGCAGAGAAAAGGCAGCCTGCAAGCTGATGACTGAGAGCTCAGGAAATAGGTTTTTCCTCTTTGTGGAGGCCATGTCAAAGAGCAGACACCAGGCTCATTAAAAAAAGTATTACTCCCCAGACATGAAGATGCCACCTATGGAAGGCTCCAGGAGAGCCACGGGAAGGCATGTTCCTCAGTGTGGTCATAACAGCAATGACTACAAGCTTCCCTGGATACAGGTCAAGTACACATGCATAAACACTCGATCGCGCTAAGGACATCTATGTAAGTAGAAACTGTGTAGGCAGCCATTTAGAGACAAGAAATGTGCAATAGCCTTAATTTGTTCTGGTTTACGTATCACTTATTAGCTGTCTCCGTGAGTCACGGAGTGACTTGGGCTGAAAAGGAAGCATGAGGGCCTCACAACAGCTTCTTATGCAGATTTTGGACTGTCTGTTTGAAAACAATGTGGAAAAACTTTAGATGTAGATAAATTGGTCTTTCATGTCAGTTTTTCAAATTGAAAATGACAGAGCTTTGGTGAGCTATAAAATAAATTTAAAAGTCTATAATAAGCACTTATAAAAACAAATAGGAGAGAAACTATGAAAGCATCACCACCAGCAGGGAAGACAGTTAAAGTCTAAACTCCAGAACCTATGAACATCATTAACAGCAAAGAGGAATCCGGCTGCAGATGCAATTAAAGTTGCTAATGAGCGGACCATGAAAACAGGAAGAGAATCGGAGATGAGATGAGAGAGACCGATGTAACCAGAAGTGTCCTGGAAGGTGGAAGAATGGCAGAGTACAGAAGAACAGTCAGGAAGGCAACATCACTGGTTTTGAAAATGGAGGAAGTAGAACAAGGGCCAAGGAGGTGGCCAGGCCCTACATACTGGTAACCCAAGAAAAAGGTTTCCCCCCTAGACCAGCGATCCCCAACCTTTGTGGCACCAGGGACCGGTGCTCCTATGAGAATCTAATGCCTGATGATCTGAGGTGGAGCTGAGGCGGTGATGCTGGTGCTGGGGAGTGGCTGTAAATACAGATGTAGCTTTGCTTGCTCATCCATTAGTGTGAAAACTTGGTTTAAGAACTTAGCAAGGCCTTAATTAAACAAATTATTCAAATGAAAAATAAGTTCCAAGGGTGAAACTTGGAAAAATACCAGTAGGTGAGTGTGCTCCTCCTGATAGATACTGTAGTTTATAGTTAAATCTAACAAACTGTCACTTTAAAATAGTTTTTTGGGGGAGACACGGAAGTCTCTCTGAGGATGTGACAATTGTGAGTAGGCAGTTTCCCGATACTCTCCAGGTTATAATGTTCACCGGTTGAAAATGTAACAATATGTCTCTATAAAAATAAAGGGAAATCATGGGAAATTATCATTCTTTAACATTTAATGGCTAAATTTGTAGAAAATTAAGCCACAGAAATATACACCATATTTCCCACCAAAAATGATCAGGAATAGACAACAATTGCCTGTGTGGCTGGTGTTACTTTCATTTTCATTCTTCCCCTGCCAGCATCTGGTGACAGCGACATGGATGTTAACCTCGTAAGAAGCAAATGGGCCACAGAAGGGCAAATGATGCAGAGAAAAGGCAGCCTGCAAGCTGATGACTGAGAGCTCAGGAAATAGGTTTTTCCTCTTTGTGGAGGCCATGTCAAAGAGCAGACACCAGGCTCATTAAAAAAAGTATTACTCCCCAGACATGAAGATGCCACCTATGGAAGGCTCCAGGAGAGCCACGGGAAGGCATGTTCCTCAGTGTGGTCATAACAGCAATGACTACAAGCTTCCCTGGATACAGGTCAAGTACACATGCATAAACACTCGATCGCGCTAAGGACATCTATGTAAGTAGAAACTGTGTAGGCAGCCATTTAGAGACAAGAAATGTGCAATAGCCTTAATTTGTTCTGGTTTACGTATCACTTATTAGCTGTCTCCGTGAGTCACGGAGTGACTTGGGCTGAAAAGGAAGCATGAGGGCCTCACAACAGCTTCTTATGCAGATTTTGGACTGTCTGTTTGAAAACAATGTGGAAAAACTTTAGATGTAGATAAATTGGTCTTTCATGTCAGTTTTTCAAATTGAAAATGACAGAGCTTTGGTGAGCTATAAAATAAATTTAAAAGTCTATAATAAGCACTTATAAAAACAAATAGGAGAGAAACTATGAAAGCATCACCACCAGCAGGGAAGACAGTTAAAGTCTAAACTCCAGAACCTATGAACATCATTAACAGCAAAGAGGAATCCGGCTGCAGATGCAATTAAAGTTGCTAATGAGCGGACCATGAAAACAGGAAGAGAATCGGAGATGAGATGAGAGAGACCGATGTAACCAGAAGTGTCCTGGAAGGTGGAAGAATGGCAGAGTACAGAAGAACAGTCAGGAAGGCAACATCACTGGTTTTGAAAATGGAGGAAGTAGAACAAGGGCCAAGGAGGTGGCCAGGCCCTACATACTGGTAACCCAAGAAAAAGGTTTCCCCCCTAGACCAGCGATCCCCAACCTTTGTGGCACCAGGGACCGGTGCTCCTATGAGAATCTAATGCCTGATGATCTGAGGTGGAGCTGAGGCGGTGATGCTGGTGCTGGGGAGTGGCTGTAAATACAGATGTAGCTTTGCTTGCTCATCCATTGCTCATCTCTTGCTGTATGGCCCAGTTCATAATAGGCCAGAGACTGGTACCAGGGATTGGAGATCCCTGCCCTAGAGCATCCAGAAAGAAATGTAGCCCTATAGACATCCTGATTTTAGTCCAGTGAGATATGTCAGACTTCATACCTAAAGAACTAAACTAAAATAAAATTTTGTTGTTAGCTCTGCTATGTTTATAGCAATCTGTTTCAGCTCCAATAAGGAATTACGGTATCCTTAGCAGGTCTGAAAAACAGGAGAAAAGATAACATGGGTGGAAAAAATGGAGCAAGAGGGAGAAGACAGGAGATGTACTCAGGGAGGGAGTGGGGATGCAGAGCAGACCACAGGGGACTCCAAGGGCCACTTTAAGTGGTTTTACCTTTAAGGAAAAAAAAGAAGCCATAAAGGATTTTAAACAGAGAAATGGCAACCTGACTTACATGTCCAAAGGATAACTCTGGCTGCTATATGAAGAATGACCTAGGATGGAAAGAGAGGGAGCAGGGCAACCTGTATGAAGGTGGTCGTAACAATCCAGGAAAGAAGTCTGCAGCAATTTAGAACATGGTGATGGAAATCAGCACAGAGAGAAGTAAAACAGTATGGCGTGACAGCTGACTCCAGCACTCACTGTTGCTTGCTTCTTACCTGAATTCCCTTTTCTTTGGGTTGCCATCTTCATCATCCAATATTTTTCCCCGCTTACTAAGTGGATCACGCCTTGTTTGAATGGTTGATACCCTGTGAACATGCAAGGCCACATGTTTAAAACCCTGGAAAATTAGGTTCCCACTGCACACTTCAAGTCATCAGAAACGGTGTTTTTCAAACCCTTTTTTTCACGACCTATTTGAAGAAATGCCATCTGTCAAGACCCATACATGTAGAATGAGTTACAAAGTACTTTCTCCTCAATTTTTTGGGAAGAGTGTGAGAACTGATGTTATCTAATTTAATTTCCTTAAAAATTGATATGGGGACTCAGTAGGGATTTATTTTTTGACTTAGAATTATTAGGTTTATTATTAGTAGTATGTTGGTTTTTATAACTCATGATGGGGTCAAAAATAAAGTAAGTATAGCAGCATAGTAGCCAGTTACAGTTCTTTAACAAAACACAAACTTGCCTGTTGATAAAAACCAAATTCCCTCTCTGTGTCCCACATATCTTAGAAGGGTCTGATCCCCAAATTCAGGAAACTATTTCAAGGGCCCCAAAGCCTTGAACACCCCAGGACACAAAGCCACTTCTGGGAGCTAATACTGAGTGACAGAGGGCACATGTCCTCACCCACTGAGACCAGGTTCTTGAAGTTCTCCAGCATCACGTCTCGGTACAGCTTCCTCTGGGCAGAGTCCAGCAGCCCCAGCTCCTCCTCAGTGAAGATCACAGCCACATCCTTGAACGTCACTTCCTCCTACAATGCCAAACACAGGCAGCCTCAATCTCACGACCAACCTGCACTTGGAGAAGGGCAGCGCTGAGCAGATGCTACCTTCTTGTCTGTCACTTTCAAACAGAATGGCTAACATTCCCTAACTGTTCCTTGATTTTCTGTGTGAACCTAAATAGGTTTCTCATATTTTACGTATTTAAATGGCAGATGAAATCAAGAAGCTCATCTAGCAGCTCTAAGGAGTAACTGCAGAGCAAGAACTAAGTTTGGCAAATCCAGCAAAATTGGATGTTTTTAACAAGGGTAAACTTTAGTTTATAACTGGAAACAACCGAGATGTCCTTCAGGTAGTGAATGGATAAACTGGTACATCCGAATCAGAATATAATTTAGTGCTAAAAAGAAATGAGCTATCAAGCCACGAAAAGACCTGGAGTTACCACATATTACTAAGTAAATGCAAGTCTGAAAAGCTACATATTCATGATTCCAACTATATAACATCCTGGAAAAAGGTAAAATTATGGAAACTGTAAAAAAGATCCGTAGTTGCCAAGGGCTGGGGGAAGGGAGGGATGAGCAGGAAGAGCACAGAGGATTTTTAGAGCTGTGTGTGATAGTATAATGGTGGGGACATGTCATTCATTATAAACTTGTCCAAACCCAGAGAATATACAACACTAAGAACGACCCCTAATGTAACCTACGGACTCTGGGTGGCAATGATATGTCAACATAGGGTCATTTACTGTAATGAATGTACCAATGTGGCAGGGGATGTTAACAGTGGTGGAGGCTGTGCACGTTTGGGACAGAGGATATTGGAAACTCTGTACCTTCTGAATTTTATGGTAAATGCAAAACTGTCCTCAAATATAAAGTCCATTATTAAAAAAACAGATACACACACAAACCTAATTTTTGAAAAAATTAACACATTAAGGAATAAAAGTAGATTAATAAGTAAAAGACATGCCGGGTGTGGCTCACACATTGGAAAGAGAGAATCTAGCTCTTCCTGTGTGAAAATCTCCAACGATATTAAGCAATGATATTGCGTAAAGCAGCAGTTAAGAGCCTATTGTTCTGTGCTGTATTTAAATAGTCTGTCTATAAAATTCCAATATGGCATGTATCGAACTTTTTAAATATTACTAAGCTCCTAATACACTGAGAATCAAAAATATACATATTATTTAGAGAAATAATTTTTTGGAGAGAAAGATAAGAAAAGTGTCACTGCAGTGTTGCTTGAAGCAATGAAACTCCTAAACCACCTTAATGTCTGAGTGATAAGTAGTTGAAAATAAAAAAGTATCAATTGAATAGGAATAGTAAATAATCATAAATAATAAATATTATACAATATTAAGTGAAAAAACACAATTTAATAACAGATGTATATCATGAATATAAAAACTATGAATGCCCATGAGAAAAAGAGTATAAGAAAATAAAGAGTTAATGTGTCAGCAGTGAAGTAATAAAGTGGGAGAACTGGTCACTCCTATTAATTTGTCTACACTTATTTTTGAAATAAAAAGAATAGTGACCAAAAAAACAAAAAACAAAAAACCCCTAAACACTAAAAACAAGTGCAAAATAAGCAGGTCTTTAAGTGTCTGGTGTTCTCCTTGAGTCATTGCAAGAAAAACGAAAACAAAAAAACAAAACACATGACCTTCTGAATAGTGAGATGGAATTTTAACAGTAAAGAAAGGTAAACCATATCCACCTTGATTGTGGTCATTTTTTCTTCTTAGTTCTGCAAATGTACAGATTTCTGAGCTATGGAGAACTTTGCCTGGTAGTATCTGGAAAAACAGAAAAAGCACATGAAAGGCTGACCAGGGATGCTGCTCACCTCCATGAAGGAGCCCCTTCCTTGGGGTGGCTGCTGCTTCACACAGCTTAAAGAGCAGATCACAGCATGAGTACTCTATTCCTGCACAACACACACACTGATACAATCTCCAGTGTTGCCTTGTAGCTCCCAAGGTAGCCATATCAGATTCTGATGTGATGGAACTTGGGTAAATAGAAGGCACAGAGCAACAATCATCTCTAACGAGTGAAACTGCTGTATGTGATAGTATTATGCTGGGGACTATATCTGGGTTCAAACCTAGTTCAATTCGCTTAGCTGAGTCATTCTGGGCAAATTAGTAACATCTCTTTTTCACAATTTTGTCATCTGTACAACTGAGAGACTATTACTTCCAAATCATTCAACAGTTGAGAGCTGGTCAGCACTTTAAATACTACCAGGATTTATTATTTTTGAAGCTATAGTAAAAAAAGATGGTACTCTGTAATGTGAAATTGCTCTTATAAATGGGATTTCTACCAAAAAACATTATATAAAAGACCTTTATAGGCAGAAAGGAGGAGTAAGGAATTTATACTAGGCAAAAAAAAAAAAAAAGCAGCTTGGTTATTGAGAGGTCATTTTCCTTTAGAGGATGGCAGGGATCTATCAGGCAGATTTCCTAACTCGTGCTGATCTGGTGAGTCCTGATTCACTGGTTTAAGGTCTCATTTCTGGGAGAGCCAAAACTATCATGAAGTCTCCATTCGGGGACTCCATTCGGGGCTTGTTGTCTTGTTTTTAACCTCTCTGTCCCTGAGCGATCAGATATTCTGACTTTCTTACCCACTCCTCCTTTCCAGCCAGAAATGGTTTGGGATTTAGTCTAGCTTCCTACAGGGAGACGCTGCAGCTGGAGTTCTTAAGCCATCAGGACTCACGGTTTTCAAGGAAGTGAGAACTTCCCAAAACCAACAGTACTAATAACAAGAAGCCATCATTCACCCCCTGCTAGGAACTGTCTTAATACTTTCACTAACTCGTTTAATTCTCAAACCACTATATCAGGAAGGTAGTAACGTCATCCCTATTTTACAGAAAAACATCAAAGGCAGAGAAATTTAGGTAACTCGCCCAATGCCCTACTGAGGAACCGGGAGAGAGAGAGAATGGTGACGACCCCGGCAGGCGGAAAGCGCTGGAGACCCTCCAACCAGGCGAAGCACGACCCAACCGCCCCAACCGCCCCAAACGCAGAGGTTCCGCCGAGGGGAACGCCGCCCGCCGCCCCAGTCCTAAAACCAACGCTCTGACGCAACCTTTTTCTGCTAAGCCAATGACCGTGTCCATTGGGACCCCGAAAAGTTCGGAAGAGTTGTGAAAAAAGGAACCGGCTCACCACAGCGAGGGGAAAGACGACCGCTACCTGAGCTCCGAGAGCGGAAGTGCGTCGAGGGGATACACTTCCCAGAATTCCCCTGCCCCAGAGCTTTGTACGAAGTATCCGAGTCTCTGCCGGACCCGTGGACTACACTTCCCAGAATTCCCCTTCCCCGGGAGCCTGTACGGAATATCCGAGTTTCTGCGGGACCCGTGGACTACACTTCCCAGAAAGCCAGAGAACACAGTGCATGTTCTCACCCTCCTCGGGCGAAAGTGCTTGAGACCTCGCGGAGCTGTTGGACAATTTCCACAAAACCCGCGGGGACTAAGTACACATTGCCGACTTCGGGCTGGGAGTGTGGAAACCTGCGCTTAGGGCTAGTGTTACCTTCTCTTGAATCTGCGAGCGGAAAAATTTCGGTAGACATGACTTCCTGAAGTCTAAATGTCTTCAATTAGTACAAGTTTTGTTGGAAGAGTAAATAGGAGGCATAAGATTAAAAAATTAATCTGCAACTGGGAAATGTTCTATTTAGGAGCATTGGAGAGTCGAGAGAAGGGTAATATTTTGTACAATCAGAATTAAAGCTGAGAATGAAGAATGGGCGAGGTAGCGGTTTTGGAGAGGTGGTATTAACCTCTACTCTTGATGTAGTATCAGTGGTTTGATAGGATGTAATCAAGAATCGTGTGTAAAGTTACTCAACACCATTAGTCATAATGGAAATGCAAATTAATAATATCACTGCATTCTAGCCAAAAAACAACAATTAGGAAAAAATTATAAAATGTCAACACTTTCCTAGTAGTGTAAATTGGTACAACCACTTTGGAACTTTTTTTTTTTTTTAAGTATCTAGTACAATTACATATGTTTATACCCGTAACTCTTTGGTTCAACCCACGCAGACATTTCTCAAATTTATATATCCATATATTCAGCCAATGACGTTTTCCAGTAGGCTCATACTAACTACCACTACTTTTAAGAGCCTAAAGTGGAAACTACTCAATGATCATCTATAATAGGGGGAATTATTGGTAAATTTACTAGTTGTAAAAATAGTCACTAATGAGAATGAATAAAATTCATCTAGTCTCCAAATTTGAATTTCCTAATGTTGAGGAAATTAAGGTTGACACAGAATAGTAAATATTGTATGATTCCATTCTGTAAAATACAAAAACAGGCTCAGCAAATCTATCATGTTAGGAGTTAGTAAGTGCCATAGTAAAAGGACTGTGACTAGAATGAGGCATCAGGGGAGCTTCTAGGATGTTGAATTTGTCCTGGTCCTCTAAGAAGTGGACACTAAAAATTTAATGTACAAGAATATCATTAAGGGAAAGGCAGGAAGCCAGGGGAGGCTATAAGAATCATGACCTTGATGCAAAGGTGATTCTTGCCTGGATTAGTACTTAACATAATGGTTGCCAGGTATTGATTTCTGATTTCACCATTCATTCTACATTTATGGATCAGCTTTCTACTATAAGAGTTTACATTTTTTTTTCTTTTTCTCCCATCCTTATTTCCCATCTTTCTTCATATTACATTATAAACATTTATTTTGATGTTCAAATTCTTCAAATTTGTTCCTTCCCTTTTCAATGTGATTACATTAGTCAGTGAAATACAGTTTCGTTCATTTATTTTTGCTTTAGAGTTCTGTATTTTATTTCCCTTCTTTTTTTTTTTTTTTTTTAGCATGTAAAACATTAATATGGTTCTAACAATCACAACCCTGTAAAGGAGATGATCAGAGAAATGTATTGTGTGCATTTTAAATCCTGGAGATGGCTGGAGTTAAAGCAGCCTGGTGGTGGACCTTGCAGAACTAAAGTCATTTGGGCAAACCTGTGTTCAAATCCATCACTGCCACGTATAGCGTTCTGACCTCAGGTAACTTACTGAACTGCTTGAAGACTTCACTTTTAAATGTAAAATAGGGAGACAATTAGTGTTACATTAAGAGGAATTACTATTAATTGCATGTTGGACTCACAGCCCAATGCCTGGTAAATATTAGATATTTATTAACAATATTAATATCTAATAAATATTTTGCAATCAAATTACAAGAGCTCTTATACATAAGTGTTAGTGTATGACTCATTTTCATGCTTTTCTACATAGACTCCAGTATAATTCTTGGGATCAAAGATTACTTGTAAAGTCTTTGTAAATTGTCCAAGTAAACCTATAGATTAATTTTGTCCAATAATTTAAAACTTAATAGATTAATTCTAATGATTTAAAATGTTTTTAAGTGATGTTCACTGGCTATATTTGTTACATCTTGTGGATGTGGGGAGTGATAAACTAAAATAGTGCATATCCACCTGTATATACACAAGAATGCTGAGAAATTAGAATTAGCTGTTCTGTAATATTGTTCTACTACCAACAGTCTGGTTTGCTGCACTTGATAAATTTTGAGAATGAGAAAATAACTAGAAGCCAATAATTAGAGGTTCTCAACTATGGTTGAATTATTAGGCCCCGAATGGCCAACAGGGACGAAATAGGAAGACCTTGGTTTAGGAAGTATTCTCATGAGAACAATATTGCCTTCTAGGGAGGGCTTGTATATTGCAGAATTAAAAAAAAAAAAAAACTTTACTTTTTGTGCATAAAGCACATATATATATACACACACACATACATATACAATATATAAACAGAATGCAGTTCATCTGTGATATTAAAATTTCACAGAGTAGATCAGGTTAAAGAAAGTCGAAAAGGGGTCTTTAAAGAGGCTAATAAAAAAGTTAAGGAATATTGGCATTAGTATTGATAAAAAATCATGTGTCACTGAAAAACACTTTCTATGTAGCCAACATTATTCTAAGTACTTATAAATAAATGTATTTAATCCTGGGAAAATCTTAGGTAAATTCTATCCATATCCACAATTGATAAATAATTAAACTGAGGCATAGAAAAGTGAAGCTTTTATATAGGGTTGTATGGCTAGTAAGATCTAGGATTTTCATAAGTAATTCTGACTCAAGAGTCCATGCTTTCTACTCCTACATAATACCTGCCTACTCCAATGATCTGTCTGGTCCATTTGATTATAGATATTCCAAACATACTGATGGTCTCTGAACTTTATCAGTCACCTTCTGAGAAGCCTGAGTGAATACTAAGGATTAAATGCAGGCAGAAGTTAGGAAGGGCTCTCCCATCAATAATTCAAAAGGGACCAGCCTTTCACTAAGTAACTGGGATTTTACCCATGAAGTATTATAACTGCAGGGTCCTCAGCTGGCTAAGAATCTTATCTCCTTCAGGTTTTCTCACTATCAGCTAAAGCTTTTCTTCATAATCCACCTGTTTTTAAATATATTCTTTGAAAGGTTAATTCCCTGAGCATTATAATCATTATAAGGTTTGGGGTCTATGGCCATACCACCCTGAACACGCCCAATCTTATCTGATCTCAGAAGCTAAGTAGGATTGGGCCTGGTTAGTACTTGGATAGGAGGTTTGGATGACTGAGAGATGAAAATAATCTGTTGCTTTAATGACCAATAACATTATTCTTCCAATTTTCTTTTAGCAAAAGAACCACCAAGGGTTAGCCAAATCAATACATGGCCATCTCACTAACATCTTCACTCCTCAGCTTCAGTAACAAGAAAGTGTGGTCACGTAATTAAGTTGTGATCAATAGAACCAACAGAATCATGAAGAAATAGAAGAAATAGAAAATCTAAATTGAAAAATAACAAGGAGATTGAATCAATAATCAAAAATATCCCAAGAAAGAAAAGCTCAGGACCAGATGGCTTTACTGATGAATTCCACCCAACACTTAAAGAAGAATTAATTTAACTTTTCTCAAACTTTTCCAAAAAATTGAAGAGAAAACCTTTCCAAACTCATTTAATGAGGCCAGCACCACCCTCATACCACAGCCAGATGGGGGACGTTACGAGAAAGATAAATACAGGCCAAGATCTCTCATGAATATGATGCAAAAATCCCCCTTCTAAATTCTAGCACACCAAACACAGCAGCATATTAAAAAGACCATACAGCATGATCAAGTGGGATTTATCCCTGTCGTGCAAAGACAGTTCAACATATGCAAATCAATAAATGTGATCGACAGCATTAACACAATAAAGGATAAAAATCATATAATCCATTAGTAGATGGAGAGAAGACATTTGACAAAACCCAACATCTTTTTATGATGAAAACTCACCACAAATTAGGTATAAAAAGAATGCACCTCATAATCATAAAGGCCATATATGGCAAGCCCACAGCTAACATCATACTTAACAGTGAAAAAGCTCTAAGTTTTTTATCTAAGATTAGGAATAAGACAAGATGCCTACACTCACCACTTCTATTCGACAGTAACAGAAGACTAACTAGAGCAATTAGCCAAGAAAAAGAAATAAAAGATATTCACATCAGAAAGAAAGAAGTAAATTTGTCTTTGTTTACAAATGGCATGATCTTATATAGAGAAAACCCTAATAATGCTACCAAAATTGTAGAACAAATAAATTCTATAGTTAGGATACGAAATCAACATACAAAATTTAATTGTATTTCTACACATTAACAACAATCAGAAAGAGAAATTAAGAAAACAATCCCATTTACAATCGCATCAAAACAATAAAATACTTAGGAATAAGTTTAAACAAGGAGATGAAAGAAGTGTATACTGAAAACTATAAGACATTGATAAAAGACACTGAAGAAGACATGAATAAATGGAACAATATCCTATGTTCGTGGATCAGCAGAATTAATATTTTTAAGATGTCCATACTTCCCGAAGTCACTTACAGATTCAATGTAATTCCTATCATTTTCCAATGGCATTTTTCACATAGATAAAACAATCCAAAAAATTTGTATGGGAGCAAAAAAGACCTTAAATAGCCAAAGTAATCTTGAGAAATAAGCAGAAAGCTGGAGGCATCACACTTCTTGATTCGAACTATGTTACAAAGCTATGGTAATCAAAAGAGTGTAGTACTGGCATAAAAACCGATACATAGACCAATGGAACAGAATAGAAAGCACAGAAATAAACACACGCATACGTGACCAACTAATCTTTAACAAGGGCACCAAGAACACACAATGGGGGAAGGATAGTCTCTTCAAGAAATGGTGCCGAGACAACGATATCCACACAAAATTGGACCCTTATCTTACATCATACACAAAAATCAACTCAAAATGTATTAAGACTGAAATGTAAGACTTAGAAGAAAAAGTAGAGGAAAATCTTGACAATGGTCTTGGCAATGGTTTCATGGATAAGACACCAAAAGCCTATGGAACAAAAACAAAAATAAACAAGTGGGACTATACCAAACTAAAGAAAAGTAAGCAATCAATAGTGAAAAGGCAACCTACAG